TAAGGTGACGGCCCCCCCCTCTAAGGTGACGGCCCCCTGCTCTAAGGCGACGGCCGGCAGCTCTAATCCCACCGTCAGCCTCAGTGGCCCTTGGCCATGTAAGGTGGCATGTTCACATTCCAGGGATGGGACAGGGCATCTCTGGCGGAGGGGGTGTGACATTATTTCACCTGACGTCGCCCTTTTGGTCCACTTAGAGATGGTTTTAGTTACTTTGTGTAAAGAAACGATCATTGTTAGACTCTTCTTTCGGGTGAAAAGCTGTAGAGCCTCCCTTGGGCACTGGGAGAGTAGAGAATGGAGGGTTTTTATTTTTTATTTTTTGGCCTCCAGGAGTTAGTCATCTCCTCACTGAGCTTGTGCCCTTTGACCGGCACCTCCCCGACTGCTGCCCTGCCCGCCCCGCTGGCCACGGCGCCAGGCGCCACATGTGCCATCAACAGCGATGTCTTTCTGGGTCTGACTGATCTCACTTAGCACAATGTCCTCCAGCTTTACCCATGTTGTCGCAAATGGCAGGATTTTCTTTTTTTAAGGCTGAATAATATTAATATAGTACATTATATATCTTATATAATATGTGTGTTGTATAGTCCTATTTTTATTTTTTTGAGAAACCTCTGTCCTGTTTTCCACAGTGGCTGTGCCAATTTATAATCCCACCAAGAGAGCACAAGGTTCCCATTCCTCCACGTTCTTCCAGACTTGTTATCTCTTGTCTTTTTTACGACAGTCATTCTAACGCGTGAGAGGTGATATCTCATTGTGGCTTTGGCTTGTATTTCCCCAAAGAATAGTGATTTGGAACACCTGTTGGCCATCTGTACATTTTTTTTTTTTTTTTGCAAAAATATCTATTCAGTTCCTTTGCCCAGTTTTCTTTTCATATATATTTTTTGCAGAATGCTTACCATCGAAAGATTATCCAACACACTCATCGCTTCACATGGTTCCCATTGGGGCGTGTGTGTGTGGTGCAAACTTTTAAGAACCACTCTGAGCGACTTTCAAGTATGCTATTATCAGCTATATACAAAATGCTGTAGATTCGATCCCTAGAACCTATTCATCTTACAGCTGGGAGTTGGTACCTTTGACTACCTTGACCTATTCACCTGCACTGCCCCTCCCCACCCACAGCAAGGGCCAATCTACTAGCTATTTCCGTATTGCTGCTTTTTTAGATTCCACATAGAAGTGACAAACGGTATTTGTTTTTCTCCATCTGATTTTTCTCACTAGGCATAATGTTGTCGCAATGGCAGGGTTTCCTCCTTTTTAATGGCTGAGTAATATTCCACTGCATATATATGTCATTTTCTTTATTCATTTATCCATCAGTAAACACACAGGTTATTTCCATGTCTTGACTATTGTAAGTAATGCTTCAGTGAACATGGGTATGCAGCTCTATTTTGACATACTAATTTATTTCTTTTGTACGTATACCTAGAAGTGGAATTGCTAAATCATATGGTAGTTCTATTTTTAATTTTTTGAGGAAACTTCATACTGTTTTCCATAGTGGCTGTACCATTTTTTAAAAAATGTTTATTCAGGTCCTTTTCCCATTTTTAAATTATTGATTTTTTTGTTATTGAGCTGGATGAGTTCCTTATATATCCCACAGGTATTAGATGTGTAACCAAGCATCACTAGACATAGCTTTATTTCCATAAATTCAACAACTTTCATGAAAATGGGTAAATTCTTTGAAAGAAACAAACTATAAAACTCACTTAAGAAAAAACAGGTAAGAAAGAAGAAACCACCAACCCCAGGGACAGAAAGTTAAGTGATGTTCAGGGGCTGGGGTCAGGAGATGTATCCAAAAGGCCACGAGGGGAATTTTGGAAGTAAGAGCTTCTCTAGGTATTCACGGTGGTGTGTATTATACAATATATACACTTTCCATAATTCATAGAAATGTACACTAAGTTTTAATGAGTACAACTTACTGTGTGTAAGGCATAGCTCAATGAATCTGACTCAAAACGAAACGAGTATGAGCTCTGGCCATGTCTCCGCTTTCGATGCTGACCTCCCATAGCTCCTGGCTTCCTTCCCTGAACCTTGAAGCTCGCGGCAGAGTTCAGGAATAAGACTTTTCTGTACGTGCTTTCCTAGAGGGCCTCATGCTAAGTGAAGTCAGTTAGACAGAGAAGTGTGATTTCACTTAGGTGTGGAATCTAAAAAACAAATAAACGAGCGAACAAAACAGAAACAAACTCAGAGAAACAGAGAAAAACTGATGGTTGCCAGATGGGAGAAGGTTTAGGGGCCTGGGTGGAAAAGGTGAAGGGACTGAGAAGCACAGATTGGTGGCAACGTAAAGCACCACATAGGGCACATAGTCAGTAATATTGTAATAGCTACGGATGGTGCCAGGTGGTACCAGACTTACTGGGGGATCACTTCGTAAGTTATATAAATGTCTAGTCACTGTGTTGTACATCTGAAACTAATATAATATTGCATGTCAACTGTAATTAAAAATTTTTTAATAATTAAAAAATAAAAGAATCTGCTATTTCTCTCCAACCAGAACAAGTCCTTCCAGAGTCACCCCAGCTTCCACCCCCATAACTTCCCTGTACCTTTGAGGCTTGGAGGAGGTCCAGTCATGCAGAAAAGCCTACACTGTCCCCTCTCTAAGTCCCAAATATAAAACAACATGCACTGTTACTGAGACAGGAAAGCATCCTGTCTGGCAGGACGCCGTTATCCATCTAACATCAGGCATATAACCCCAACTCTTCCCAGGTACATTCAAAGTCAGCTGCAACCGGATGACCTCAGAGACATACCTGAGACCTAAGAACTGTCCAAATAACTGGATAAAATGAAGGAAAGAAACTTGCGTGAGGATGGAGGAGCTGTAAGCCAGGGTTCTCAACGGGGGTGCTTTCGCCCCAGCACATAACTGGCAATGCCTGGAGACACTTTTGGTTGTGACAACCAGAGCGGTGCCAGGGGCGTCTGTGGGTATAGGCCAGGATGTTACAAACATCCTACAATGGCCCTCAAGCAGAATTCTCTGCCCCAAATGTCCAGAGTGCTCAGGTCTGAAAACTCTGCTCCAAGCTTCGACCCTGAGAAGAAGCAGAAGGGGACAAATGCTTGGCCTCATGGGCACTGCCCCTTGGAAACCTGTGTCACCTCTGCGTGGGAGGGAGGCACCCGCACTCCTGCGTCTGCTCCCCAAATGCTGGGCCTTTGACTCCCGGACAGGCGGCACCTGAGAGCCCTTCTTGGACATTCCAGCACCATGGCTGATGTTTTCACTCTTACATTGTTTCTC